CGGCGCGTTTTGTTCCACGCGCGCCTCAAAGAGCTGTCAGCAGCGTGAAGGGGCCCGCAAGGAACACGGATGGTTTTTAGTCAGTAAAAGTCTGACACTCCCTTCCGCTCCACCCAGAGCGAAAGGCGTCATTTGATGATTTTCCATCCGCAAAAAAAAAAAAAAGGCATCGAGGTTTGATTGAAACTCCATGAGCTGTTCCACGCAGCTTTGTTCTGTATGCAGCAGCACATCGTCGGTATTGCACAAGAAATGATTATCCAAAGTAATTTGTTTGCAGGCTCTCGGGACTGGCAAGTATTCCTTTTCTTTGACCAATAGGTATGGGTATTTGGGAATAACTATAATAGTTTTGTTTGCACTAGCAATTGGCAATGAATGCATTTTGAAGTAACTATATGTTTTATTCCCTACTAAAGGGACCTCTAAGTGATCTGGTTTCCTTTTATAAAAGCCTTAACCTTAATACAATTTTCTAGTTTAACTAAGTTATTTTCATTTACAGGATATAATAGATTTTCAGTTATCGCGATTGATTGTAATAAATTTAACAATTCCGTAGAGTTAAAAAATTGCTTGATGCAGAACAGATACCTTACTGAATGCTAGTGCAGTTTCGATTTCTCCTAGTATTACGTTAACAGTTCTAAAATAACTCAAAAACATGTCAAACATACCTAGGACATAGGTAGAATAAATGGAGTTTTCTTCTTTTGTAATTAGGAATTTAACAATTCTTTCAATTCTCTTCAAGCGTTCATCTAATATTAAAGTATTGTTATGTAAGGTCTCTGTACTGTTGATGAAACTATCCAAGATTTTGGAGACTAATGTAATTCTCTTATCCGACATTATCTGATTATCGTTTAGTTTAGAAATCAATGAGTCATATTGGACGGCATCATCATGATCCAAATTTCCAGTTACTATTTTTATCATAGACCCAAGCGGGTCAATAATGCCTCTTTTAAATCTTTTCGATGGCACAAGTTGCCGAAATTTTTCTATAGTTGCATCTCTTAAATACCCTACATGTGTTCGAATAGCTAAAAATTCATGAATATATGGTTTATTAACATCTATCAACGCAACGAATTCGTCATACTTTAATATACTAAAATCTAAATCACTACCTATACCTTCTAAGTTTAAAGTTTTAATAATAAGCCAATTGTCTATTTGCAATGAGGCACGACCCAGTTTGACAGGCAGGATTCCTGGGTTTTTTTTCAAGTTTTCGAAGTTGAAGGGCCCATCCTTTCTGAACCATCGTCAGAATTATAATACACCACCTGTGGAGGACGTTTAATATTTTTAATTGGCACTGAAGTATTTCTATTACCAATCCTAACAGGAACTATATTTCTTTCTATATTACCACTAACGACAGCTTTCCTATATCGCGGTTTGTCTTTACTTCTTCTTATGTTAGATTCCTTGGCGTATATAACATCTCCTATTCTAAAATTTCTATCTGTTTCACCGCCCTTTTGTTCCCTTACCTTTTCCTTTTTCTCTAAGATTTTATCTGATATGTAATTATATAGATATCTAATACGTTTAGCATGATCTTTTAATAGTTGTTGGGTGTAACATTTCTCGAAATTCGCGGTGAACGTTGAATTAGAGTCGGTATGACCGAAAACGATTTCGAAAGGAGTAAGGCCGGTTGTACTATGTATGGTGTGGTTATAAGCCATAATTGAGTAACTCATTACAGTAGCTGCATCTGTACACTTTCGTTCGTATTTTGCCAATCTGTATATCTCTATAATTGTGGAGTGGAATCTCTCTATTATGCCTGTTGAATTCAGGTTATTAGGAGTGGTAATGTGTAGTAGTATGTTATACATTGTCATAAGTTCCTTAATGAGATCATTATTAAACTCACTACCGGGATCAGAAGTTATTTTTTTTTGGTGTTCCGTATATTGAAAAATATTTAATAAGCGCTCTTACGATTTCCGGTGCGGATCTATTTGGGATTTCGATAGCTTGTCCTAATTTACTAAATGCGTCAACCAAAGTTAGGTAATAAACGGATTCAATTGAAAAAAGGTCCATGAAAACTTCTTGGAAGGGGGCGTTTTGGGTTTGAGTTAATTGAAGTAATGGTTTAATGGGTTTTCTTTCATATTTCATTTTTCTACAGGCATCACAAACATTAAGTACTGCAGCAATCGTCTCTTGCATGTTCTGCCAATAATAATTTCTTTTAATTCTACTCATCGTTTCCTTTATTCCTCTGTGACACGTCTTTCCCTCATGATGTTGCAGTATGATTTCTTTTTCTTCTTTCTCATCTTCTACATATATAACATGCTCTGTACATTCAATAAATTCTACCATTCCCTTTTTAAATAGCTGTATAATAATTTTAGATAATTCTTTTCTATGTTGAATGTTTTCGAAATAAATAAAATATTTAGTCTTGGGCTTAATGTACTCTTTTAAGAAATTTTTAATAAGATCTTCATTCTTAAGTGGGGCAAAAACTTCGAGAACCTTTTGTTTATCCCTGGATAAATTTCTTACTTGTACTTCATTTTTATGCCAGGTATAAACTAAAATTTGGTTTGGTTTTCAGTCAATGGCCTCCTTTAATATCGGAATACCATTAGATTCTAGATCTTGTCCAGAATGCACAGTTACTATACTACTATCAGAGGGTATAGGTGGTAACGGGTATTTCGTGTTAGTCTCTAACTGGTCGACGGATACAGTGGCGGATGTGTCAGTTATAGTTATTGTCCTAGAGTCGTCCCTGTTTTCAGTCGTTAAGTCCACAATTTGGTCAGTTAATTCTGTCAGATATTTTTTCAGTTTTTGTTCTTTAGGGTCCAGGTTTACTTCCAATGATTGTGAGTCATCAGAGTCTATGGCATTTAGTTTTATCCGAGAGAGGGAATCAGCATTACTATTTTGTTTTCCGTTTTTGTATACAATATCGAAGTCGTACTCTTGAAGACGTAAACGCCAACGGGTCAGTTTACTGTTCGGTTCTTTAAGTGAGTAAAGCCAAACTAGTGGTCTATGGTCGGTATATATGGTGAACTTACGCCCGTAAAGGTATGGTCTAAAATGTTTTACGGCCCATATTATGGCGAGTAGTTCACGCTCTATTGTACTATATCTGGTCTCAGTGTCGCTGAGAGTTCTACTAGCGTAGGCAATGGGCTTATCGGATCCAATTGTCCCCTGCGATAAGACCGCACCTAAAGCAATAGTAGAAGCATCTGTAGTTAAAACATAAGGTTTGTCTGGATCTGGGTATTGGAGTAAAGGTGCATTAGTCAGAAGCTCCTTACACTTCTGAAACGCATCAATATATTTTTGATCTATTACAATTTTATTTCTTTTCTTTAGGCATGCTGTAAGGGGCTGAGTGATTTTGGCGAAGTCTTTTACAAAGCGTCTGTAATAACCAATCAATCCTAGGAAACTCTTGATCTCGGTAGTCGTCCTTGGTAACGTGTAGCTTAATACAGCCTGAATCTTATCATCGTTTGGTTTAAGTCCGTCTTTAGTAATAACGTGCCCTAGGTATAGCACTTCTTTTCTCAAGAATTCTGATTTGTCAAGTTGTATTTTTAAATTAGTCGATCTCAATCTGTCAAAAACTGTCCTTAATTTTTGTAAATGCTCCTGGAGGCTACTCGAGAAAATAATTATGTCATCAAGATAGACAAGGCAATGAATTCCTTGTAAGCCTCTTAGGATGTTATCCATGGCTCTTTGGAAGGTGGCTGGAGCTGTCTTCAGGCCAAAGGGCATTCGCAGGAATTCATAGTGTCCGTTCTCTGTGCTGAATGCCGTTTTTTGTCTATCTGATTCGTTGATCTCAATTTGGTGGTATCCACTAGCTAAGTCCAAGGTTGAAAAGTAAGTACTCTTGCCTAGTTTGTCAAAAATGTCAGTGATATTGGGTAAAGGGTACTTATCGTCCACAGTTATGTCGTTTAGACGTCTGTAATCGATAACCATCCTATACTTCATTTCACCAGATGCGTCTCTCTTTTTGGGAACTAATTGGACTGGGGCTGACCAAGGCGAAAAGGATTCCTGAATCACATTATCATTTAATAGTTTCTGTACCTGGTTTTTAATTTCCTGTGTTTGTGCGGGAGGTTGCCTGTAGGGTTTGACATAGATAGGGTCTTCGTTTTTTGTTCTAATATAGTGTTTCACCTCATTAACAAAAGATAAAGGTATTTGATCGCTTTAAAAAATATCTTTATATTCTCTACATAAGTGGTATATCGATTTTTGTTCTTCTTCCGACATGTGGTCTAAGCGTAGTTTCTCTAAATTTTGCTCTAATATTTTATCTACTTCAATATCTGACATATCTGTAATATGGTTAAATATACATTTAGTCGCTTTACTCTCTTCATATGCTTCTACATTCAATGGTTTTTTTATAGTTAATTTTATCGGTATATCTAAGGTATCCTGGATTACTGTAGTCGTATAACCATCCTTACATCTCACTAACGCACTAGGCATTCGCACACCCTTACAGAATTCTTTATAATTGATTACAGCATTACCTGAATATAAATTTGTTGGGAGTTTGACTCTTTGCTCGGAACGGGGAGATAACTCCAAAACGTAAGAAGATTTACTATGTGTTATAGGTATTACGGTAGTTTTAGTTTTAAGAATCTCGTTTTTTAAATCTATTACTGCTTCTAGGTTGCAAAGTATATCATTCCCAATTAAGCCATCGTACCTAGAGTCAACATTGTAAATGTATAGTTTATGAATATCGTTACAGTTGAAAATTGGTAAAGACGGGATTTGAATAACTTGATCATGTCTGCTCGATGCATGTGTGCTAATGACTTCGAATGGTTCGTGACTTATGTACTCTGGAAAGTACTTATAAGCCTTTGATGGACTAATGAATGATCGCGTACTACCTGTATCAATCATAAATTTGGAGTCGATTTCCGGTATATAAATAAACGGCAATCTCAAATTAGTACTATAATTTAACTCTATTTTTTCGTAAGTTCCGAGGCTTCGACCTGAAAATCCTTGTCGTCATTATTGGTTGGGACGATTTGTGTTACTTCAGGAATTATTGTCGGATATTGATTTTCATAATAATCGAGCTCGGGAACATTAAGGCCACTGCTTGAGTACTCCTCATAGCAGCAGTTATCATAAGAAAGTGGGTACACATCGCTGCACGCATCATCGTAATACGTATTATCAAGGTCGAGTTCATTTAACTGAAAGCCTTGTTGATTTGTTTTAAGTGGTGGTGCCGTTCGCATTGTGACGTCACTGGGCCCAGTGTATTGATTTTTATTTAACTGAGGCTTGTAACCAAATTGTTGGGGCTTATAAAAGTTTTGTTGTTGGTTTCCAAATTGTTGTGGGCGCATACCGAATTGTTGTGGGCGCATACCGAATTGTTGAGGTTTATTAAATATTTGTGGCTGCATCCCGAACTGTTGAGGACGCATATTAAATTGTTGTGGGCGCATATTAAACTGTTGCGGGCTTATACCAAATTGTTGCGGGCGGAAGCCGAATTGTTGGGGGCGGTATCCAAAATTTTGTTGATTATTATTAAATTGAGTTAGTTTTGATTGTGACCCCTGCGGAAGTCCAAAGTTAATTTTTTAGGGGTTAATTCGGGTTTATAGCCCATAGGTGCCATTGAATTAAAATTATTTGAACCGAATTTAAATGTAGAAATATTATTTGGTATATTGGGTGGCGTTAGTTTATTACTAGGATTACTATACATTTTATTACGTAAGGTATACTGCTCATGGAAGTTGACTTCTTCCATGACCACGCTTAAAGCCTCTTCTAGTGTACTGGGCGCTTTTAAGCGAACAATTCGCACCATATTTTCTGGCAAATTATACAAAAAGACATTTAAAGATGTGTTATTATATATAATAATTTTGCTACTCTTTACATTCGGATCGGTTAATCTATTTACTTTCGATATTAAAACACTACGAACGGATTGGATCCTATTACAGAAATCTAAATATGACTCGTTGTTTCGGATACGCAAACCTTCAAGTTCTATAGCAATACATTCTTCACTCCTAGGGTCTCCAAAATGTTGAATTAGCAGTTCTCTAAAATCTTCCCACGAATTAATGTCCTCGCGCTCGCTAAAGAGCGCTGCAGCGTCGCCTACGAGTCTACTTGTTATCGCGTACATTACGTATAAATTTTGTTCATCGGATCCCCTATATTTATTTAATATATACTCACATTTGCGAATAAAAAGATTTAATTGGTGCTTATCACCGTTGAATATCGGTACAATTTTGAGCATTTCACTAGGAATCATCTTAATTTGCACTTGATCTTCCATTTTGTAGAACTTTATTTTATAAAATACGGCGATAAAATAATATAATTAATAAAAGAATTCAAATTCACAATCAAAACACAGTCAAAATAAAAGTAAAATAATTAATAAGTAAAATACAAAATATGAAATAAATAAGTCCTCAATAAAAATTTAATCAACGAACATACACTACAATTATAATTTGTAATAGTTATAATCGCTTTGTTCCTACAGTGCAAGCTCTTATCGCGTCGTTATTGCATGGACGCTCTTACTTATCTAGTTATTCCTAGTATTTCTTTATGCAGTTAGTTATTAAGTTTAAGTATTCTTAAATATAAGTTTCACAGATTTTTATGTAAAACCAGATAACGTTATATCGCAAGAGGTCTAATTGCAAAATAACAAAACTATATAATATGACAAGGAAAGGAAGGTGAAAATTTGGACTCAACAGCCGGCCTTCGTCATCTTCAGCTGCTCTCCACTTGACAAATTTATATTGGTTCGCAGGATCGCCTCGCGGCACGAACGCGGTAAACGATTTTATTCGAATTTATTTCGCGAACGGCGCAAGCAAACGGCGATCCTACCGGCTGCGCCAGTCAAGCTAACGGGAGCGGTGGAGGCGTTTTTAAAAACTAAAATAAAACTAAGAGATGTCCGTACAGAAGCTCATGTACTTCAACAATGGCAAACTTATTCTAATACATCTTTCATGCAGACTCTATTACATTTGCTTACTCAAGTGACACGATATAGGCCACACACTGGGTGCAAAGTCAGCAATAGTATTTATGCACATACTTGTATCACTCTCTGTGGGGTCGAATTCATGACTAGGTAGTATTATTTGTTTGTTTTTGGTATAATTTTTCGTATTAGTTATACATATATTTGTTGTGTTTTTTACTGCGCGATGAAGCTTTTTGCGTGTATTTTCTTTGAAGTAAATGCAAATAAAAAAATTAAGCACCATTAGCATGTAAGGTTCGAATCCATAATTAAAATTTCGACAAATATTATAATTTACACTATAAAAGGCTAATTCAATATTATCACCCAACCACAATATCTTATTAAGTATAGTACTGCCTCGTTGGTCTAGTGGTTGTAGTAGTGCGACTGCTGATCATGAGGTCCCGGGTTCGAATCCTCGGTCGGGCCCAAAAGTCAGTTATGAGTTTTTTATTTATGTTCTAAGTTATAATTAGTATTACTAAGTTATAGTTTTTTGCTAAAATATAGTATATTATTTATTGCTTGTTTTTTCTTATTTTCCAAAAAATAATTGAGTACATAAGGTGTTTTATACTTATAATTCGGTAAAAAGTATCTAAGTAGGTACTAATATACCTACTTTTTACTATTAACTAAAAAAATTTAAAACTAAATTTAACTAAAAAGACTAAATTGACTATTTATTTTGTAACTCAAAACAGGACATGGGTTTATTTATACTCTAAAAACTATAACTTTATACAATTAGTGTTCACTGTAAAATTATATTCGGTATAGACGGTAATTATTAAATGCAACATATTTTTTAAAATTATTAATTACATTTGTCAGTGGATTAAATTTTCTTTAATAAAGTTGGTGATGATTTTAAATAAAAATAAAATTCTGCTCAAGTTTTTTTATTGTTATCTTTGTTAACAATATCGCCTTTAGAACTCTGGAACCGTAAGTGTTTCTTTCAGACGTCCACAATTTATTCAAAATAAAAAAAATACTCTTTCTACCGGAGCATTCGTACCAGGTAGACATAAAATATATTCGATTAAAAAAAATTATGTTGAAGATTGTTGACTTTGAATACTTCCATCCAACGAGTTACGGGACAATTTTGTGTCCCGGAGATTTGTTTGGGGACAATGGGACAGGTGACCGAGAAAAGGGACAGTCCCGTTCAAAACGGGACGTATGGTCACTTTAGCTATAACACGGCGACGGCTCCGTGGCGCAGTGGCTTAACAATCAGTTATTGCGCTGGGGGTCGCGGGTTCGAATCCCGCACGGAACAAGTATTTGTATGGCCTACAAATAATTGTTCCGGGTCTGGATGTTTGCCCTTGTGCAATTTATGTTTGTAAACTGCCTCCACGACACAGGAGAAAATCCTAATGTGGGGGTAACGTTTTTTTACAATTGAAATTGAAAGATTGAACCCTTATACTTCTTGTTGATTTTTGTATTACCTTTATTAAAGTTACCCTTATGTATAAATAAATATAATTACGTATGTAGAAATAAAATTGATTTTCATCCTCATCAATCTTTAGGGTGAGGATAATGTCTGCCAGCATAAATAATAAGCAGTCTAAGTTACAAGATACTCAGTTGAAAAATTAATAGGTAGGTATATTACTTTTCAATACGTGACACGTAAAAATTAACAATAATCAAAAACACATCTGCGAAACATCCTATTTATTTATTTATTTTTTATTGCACCAAATATTTGTACAAAAGCCGAGCTATCTATTTATTTACCTATAGTGAATAGATATCTTTTAAACTCACAATTTTCAATGCTTCATTTTTAATATATAATTAATTATAAAATTTCATAATTAGATAATATATGAAAATACATAATTCTAATATAATGCAACTAATATATACCGAATAAAAAAATTAAAATACATTTATCTTTGTACGCTGTGTGTATTTCCATAAAATAGTTTATTGATGTTGAAAAAATAATACTACGTTATATTGTAGCGAGCGGCGCGCCGGTCAAATGCTCAAGGCCGTTCGCATGGAGTAGCCCCTTAATGTGAAGATAGCAGTAAATCAACTTTCTCAAAACCGGTTGAAAAAAAATTGGCAACGAATTAGCAACAAATTAGCTACAAATTCCTGGATACAATGTGATTGGTTGTCGCTTCTTCGAGCTATGTATATGGCGGGCCCATTGTCACTTCAGCTTACTTATCCGTTGAGCTATTCGGTTACTCTAGTTATATTGCGGATATCCTCATTTCTAGGTTTATCTTTGGTGACTTGTCACCTATTCGATCTCACATTTAAATTTTGATTTTATTCTTCTTAAATTTTTTGTTCTATTATTTATTAATAAAAAAATGCATGCACTGTTAAGAAACATTAATGCGTAAGCAGTCTTAGACTGATGCATGAATATTTTCTTCCCTTGTTTTTGCATATTTTTTAAATGTGTGTAAAATATATGTATCAAATAAATAGTTCATTTTTTATTTCTTACTAAATCCGTCCTCTACAAGATATATGGATACTATATTAAAAGTTCTAAGCGAAGCAATAAGCGCCAGTGATACATTGTGAACATACAAGCGATTAATCTTTACACTGGTCTTGCCTTTGCGCTATTTTTCTCAGGAGCGTTGAAAAATGTGGCTCGGGTGTTGACACGACTCACGCGTCGGCTTAAATGTAAGCAATCAATAGAGTATACTGATTGGTAATTCAATACTCATGAAAGTGAATTTTTTCCTTTCAATATTTTCCTATTCAAGGACAATCAACATAATCCGATGTAACACGTGTATTTATTATCATCTACATTACAAACAATAATAATAATCAAATAAATAAACTAAAATTCAATCTTCACCTTTTATCAACTTCATTGTAACACGAATGTATATAAAAGTAAAAACAAACTATTTTTTTCATGCAACTTCAACTTTAGTTTGTTTTTGTTGTATTTTTAGTTCTAGTTCGTAGTATGAATAACATTTTTGTGAAGTGAAAAATCTATCTGTTTTATAATATTTTAAGTTAAAATAAAACGCGACGGGTCCTCGCAAGGAATTTTTATTTCACGCTATAATAGTTTTTGTTCTCTTTTTTTTATATGATAGGGTGACAAACGAGCACACAGTCCACCTGATGGTAAGTGGTTACTGTGACCCATAGAAATCCACATCTATCCTCAATAAAGACTCAAGGTGCAGATGCGTTGTCACCCTTGAGGACTAAGATGGAATGCCTCTTAGCCAGTAAAAGGGGTCTCCGGTTCTCTACACTCACCATACGTAACACAGCAGCGTTAAGCTGCTGTTTTACGCTGGTTTTCTGTGAGAGCGTGATCCTTCCCCGGTCGAGCCGACCCATTGTTGCTACAACTATACTACTAATATAGCTGCAGCATGGCTCTTACACGTAAAAATTATATTATTATATATTTCTCTTATAATGTTTCATCAAATTTTGCCTTTGACAGTGATTATAGCCCGGCTGTTCATAACAGCACGACATCATTCTTGTCTTATATGGTATTTCACAGAGGACTTGTTGTTCCACCTATCCATGTTGTGAAATCCGGGTATACGCTTGACGCCGAGCTTATGTAGCGTCTAAAAATGACTGATGGTTCCATACCCAGTTTGCCTAAATCATTTACTACAATTGTTCGCGCCCAACGCTAATGTCAAGAGTCAACGCCAGAGGGCGCTCGGTTCGGCGTCATACCGGTTTGACGTTAGGGCTAGCTTGGGTGTGGTGAGAGCGCGCGAGCGCAAAGAGTCGTTTGCCAGCTGTGCTTGGGACAGCACGCTGTCATTTTTTTTGTTCGGGGATGCAGAATTGTGCACGCGCGCGTCGAGTAGACATACGGTCTAGGGTTCGAACCGCGCATTCCTTATTCGAGAGCTTCTCCCGGTTGATCATCAGGAAATCATTATAATCGTGTCGTCGCGTTAAGTGCCCCTTTTTGTGTGTGTTGGCTTGTTATTTTACGCGTCAACGAGGCGTATTTTGAATCTTTTCGCGATGTGGTTTTTGGTGTCGAATGAAGGAATTTAGTTGTGTTTAACTGAGTAGTATGACTCATTAATAGATCGCTTTAATTCCCTCTTTATAATTTGTGATAAGTGAATCCGGGACATTGAATGTTGAACTTTGAACTACTGTCCGTTACTGTGTCGGGTATCACGTGTTCGATTCTACGATGAATGTGTAGGCGAGTTTTAGTTAGTTAAATGTACAATGAAGCTAATAGGACTGTCCTCGTGACGATCGAAGAAAGTGACTGT